CTTTTTCGCTTCCAGGTGTTGCAGTATCTCAACAAAATGGCTGGGAATGAATACATGGGTTTCAGCAATGCCACGTAAGTCCCTATTCAGAGGACTGACTGAAAGCATTGTGGTGTATCTGTGTGTACTTAGGATGGGGACAAGAGGAATGGGGGAAAGAGAATCTTAGGAGGAAGAAATCCTTTGGCCCTCCAGCTTCCTCTGAGTCCCTTCATTAACATTTGTTTACCTTGTAAAATAATTTTTTCCATTACTAATTAGTACGTAATGAGAGAGTGTGATGGTTTGTGCCTAAGCCCTTTCTTGCCAAGACTTTCAAAGCCAAAAACTTCACCAGTTTTCCTAGACTAGATGACTAAACAGTTTGGGGTGTTTGGTTTGGGTTTACTTTATAACAAAGCTATGCTGAGTGTTTGCTGAGGTTCAGAAATTTCCTCTAATATTACTGTGAGAAGTTATAAAGGGGTTAATTTAGTTTGTGGTGTGATGTAGTTCTGTCTCTCTCAGGGAAGGTAATTTTTCGCCTTCTCCCAACACCTATTCCTCCAACTTCAAGTACTAAATTGGGTGTTTGCTTCAGATTCCAGTCGGAGAAGGAAACAGGGGATCGGAATTATGCCATTGGCTATTATCTCAAGGAAAAGAAGGTAACCAGGAGAGGCTGGGAGAGAAAGTCCCTGGGAATTCTGCTGCTAGTGGAAGGGCAGTAGGGGTTGGGGGTTTCGGCCGAGACCCTGACAATGTGAAAGGGCTGCTGATGTCCTGAAGAGAAATGCTCTCCCCTCTCTTCCTTGCAGTGCTTTCCTAAGGGGGTGGACATGATGGCTGCCCTTGATCTCTACTTCCAGGTAAGAAAACACTGCTCAGGGCCGAGGGAACAGGACAGACTGTCCTTGCCCTACACCGGAGGGTATCATGTGCAGGTTCACATCACATCTTCACCTATTCTTTGTTTTCATAGCTGTGCTCTGTGGAGGTCACTTGTGAATCAGGCAGTGTCATGGCAGCCACCCTCGCCAATGGTGGGATCTGCCCCATCACAGGCGAGAGTGTGCTGAGTGCTGAAGCAGTGCGCAACACCCTCAGCCTCATGCATTCCTGCGGCATGTATGACTTCTCTGGCCAGTTTGCCTTCCACGTGAGTTTCTGGCTCTGCCATCCATCTGTCATGTGCCCAGTGCTAAGAAGAGAGAACACTGACTCTCTGAAGATACAGGTGGAAGCTTGTTCCTGCCTCTCATTCACTAACTTCCAGAAAGGCAATTAGGTTGAGACTCCTTAGATGAGTTTCTCAAAAACACCAAGTTCCTTGAATATATAAAGAGATGTCTGGCCGGGTGCGGTGGCTCACGCCTGTAATCTCAGCACTTTGGGAGGCCAAGGCGGGCAGATCCGAGGTCAGGAGACCGAGACCATCCTGGCTAACACAGAAAATTAGACGGGCATGATGGTAGGCACCTGTCGTCCCAGCTACTCAGGAGGCTGAGGCAGGAAAATGTCGTGAACCCGGGAGGCGGAGCTTGCAGTGAGCCGAGATTGTGCCACTGCACTCCAGCCTGGGTGATGGAGCAGGACTCCGTCTCAAAAAAAAAAAAAAAAAAAAAAAAAGATATTTCTTTGGGAGGCCGAGGCGGGTGGATCACCTGAGGTCAGGAGTGCCGACCAGCCTGACCCACGTGGTGAAACCCCATCTCTATTAAATACAAAAAATTAGCTGGGAGTGGTGGTGTGCACCTGTAATCCCAGCTACTTGGGAGGCTGAGGCAGGAGAATTGCTTGAACCTGGGAGGTGAAGGTTGCAGTAAGCCGAAATTGTGCCATTGCACTCTAGCCTGGGCAAACAAGAGCAAAACTCCATCTCAAAAAAAGAAAAAGAAAAAGAAAAAAAAAAACGAGAGATGTTGCAGCTCCTGAATTGTGCTTCACATTGCTGGCTCTTCTCCTTGAGGTCTCAGCTTAGATGTCATTTCCAAAGAAAGACTTTTCTGACCACCCTGTCTCACGTGGGCCCCCTTCTACCTCTATTTACAGCACCCTACTTCTTCTCACTACTTATCACAATTACTTTAAAAATTACTTGTCTATTTATTTACCTGTTTATTACCTACCTCCTAACACTATTTATTTAGCTGTTTATTACCTATCTCCTAATACCACAATGCTAGTTCTAGCACAGCATCCAGCACAGAATGCTGTATTTCAGAAAATATTTTCTAGCTGAATCAATGAATTTTAAGAGAAGAAAAGGAGAGGAGTAATAAAAGAAGCTAATTAACAAGCCAAAAGGTTGAGGTGGATTGTGGCCATGCAGTCATTTGTAAACTTGTTAAGAGTACAGCCTAACTTGTTTATTTTCTGATTTGGGGCACACCCACGTCATCCTCAGCTTCAATTCTGTTCCCCAGGTGGGCCTGCCAGCCAAGTCAGCTGTATCAGGAGCCATCCTCCTGGTGGTACCCAATGTCATGGGAATGATGTGCCTGTCACCCCCACTGGACAAGCTGGGGAACAGCTATAGGGGGACCAGCTTCTGCCAGGTGAGATGCTTTGCATATAGTACTTAATATTTTTGAAGCAATAAATTTGTTTAATGGTACCACTTTTATTTTAATAAAACAATTTTGAGCTCCTACTAAGTGTAAGGAGTAAATACACAGTATCTTTGGCTTACAATTCTAGAAGTTGGTGTCTCTCTTCAATTTCCACAACTATGACAACCTGAGGCACTGTGCTCGGAAGTTAGACCCACGGCGTGAAGGGGGAGAAGTTCGGGTAAGGAAAACTCCAGGTGGCTTGTAAGAATATTTCAAAGGCCAGGTGCGGTGGCTCACGCCTGTAATCCCAGAGAGGCCGAGGCAGGCGGATCACGAGGTCAGATCAAGACCATCCTGGCTAACATGGTGAAACCCTGTCTCTACTGAAAATACAAATTAGCTGGACATGGTGGCACGCGCCTGTGGTCCCACTACTTGGGAGGCTGAGGCAGGAGAATCGCTTGAAACCGGGAGGTGGAGGTTGCAGTGAGCCAAGATCACACCACTACACTCCAGCCTGGACGACAGAGCAAGATTCCGTCTCAAAAACAAAAACAAAAAAACAAAAAGTATTTCAGAGTAGCGCACTCCATAACACTTCAGCACTTCAGCAATACCCTTGACTAAGCACCCATGGAGGAAGGTCACAGGGCAGAGCTGACATAGGTGAGTTCAATTAATGTCAGGAGGGTATGATTTGTGTTCCAGAACAAGACTGTGGTCAACCTGTTATTTGCGGCCTACAGTGGTGATGTCTCAGCTCTTCGAAGGTAATGCTGTTGACCAAATACACACAATAAAATACTCCTGGTCAGAGATTTTACTGGGAGGCAGCATAGCAAAACAGTTAAGTGCTTCAGCTTTGGAATTAGACAGAATGGATATAGATTGCATTTAAATTAGATTTTTTTAAAAAAGGAGATTTTTTTTTAAGTAAACTGCCTGCTCTATAATTCATGTTAGCCGTTGTTATTGAGTGTTAAGAGCAGAGTCCGAGGAAGTAGGTACCCTGCCTCCAATGGGCACTTACCACAGGTAGGCAGTGAGTGATATTTCTGGCAGCATCACATTCCCATCTCTCTAATATGGGTATAACAGTCTCATCTGGGTATGGAAAAAAGATTATTGATAGCCTACAAATCTGGGTATAGGCTATTTCACTTCTCTGAAACTCATCCAGTCTGACACCAGCTCACAAAGAACACCTGTGATTCCAGTCTGATCTAGGCAACTCTAGCTGCTTTCCCACTACCCTCAGGTTTGCCTTGTCGGCCATGGATATGGAACAGAAAGACTATGACTCGCGCACAGCTCTGCATGTTGCTGCAGCTGAAGGTACTGAAGGGTTAAGGATGGGAGGGTAATCATAAGACCCTTTCTTTTTCACCAAAAGTTCCTTCGTTATATGTGCTCTCAAGGTTATAGGGGCAGCAACTAGTTTTATCTAGACACCCGTCGCTTTGCAGCTAGACTATTACTGGGTGCTGCAGGGTACAAAATGGGAAGAAGCCTTTTCCGCTCCCCTCTTGATAAAGACTTCAGTGGCTAAGTGTCTGCACCAAAGGGTTCAAGACCTGTGCCTTCTCATTTTCCTTCTGCCCGTATTCCTAGGACACATCGAAGTTGTTAAATTCCTGATCGAGGCTTGCAAAGTGAATCCTTTTGCCAAGGACAGGTGAGTATTAGGCTAAAAGTGGAGGAGGGTGGGCACAGCTTCTCTACCTACCCTCCAGCCACCATGCAAATACATACAACCACCACACTCTCCATGTCTCCTTTGCCTGATCATATCATTATTCCTTTCAGATGGGGCAACATTCCCCTGGATGATGCTGTGCAGTTCAACCATCTGGAGGTGGTCAAACTGCTTCAAGATTACCAGGATTCCTACACACTCTCTGACACTCAGGCTGAGGCAGCAGCTGAGGCCCTGTCTAAAGAGAACTTAGAAAGCATGGTATGAGCACAGGTCATGGAGAGCCCCTGCTCAAGAAAAAGCATGAGCTGGCCACACATGTAATCCATAACCACCAAAAATGCTATGGAGAGCTACACTGCTTCAGTGGGGACCAAGCAGTCATGTGGTGACTTAGGCTAGTGCTTTCTATGAGAGTCAAAATACCCCATTCCCTCAGCAGACAGAGTACAGAGAAGGGCCTCAGTGGACACCTGCAGTAGAGCTATCCAGAGAGAATGGGCTTCAAGGTACAGCCTAATGGCTTGCCCCACTCAAAACCATCCCAGCTCTTCACCCAGGTCTCCTCTTCCTCTCCCTGAAGAAACCATCATGAGAGAAAGACACTCTGGTGGAGGGACTCTAGCTACCATGCACATGTATATATCCACAGAATATGGGAAGTGGGAATGGCTACGTACATGGCTTTAGTAGTCTGGAGAGATCTACTCCCCTTGGCCAGGACATGCTGCTGCTACTGCTAACAGCCAATTTTATAGACAGAGAAAGTATTTTGTGTTCAAATAAACTTTAATTATCAAGTCATTTTTGCTAAACCCAGTCCTTCTTTCTTCCCTAGGGGTATCTAGCTTCATCACCATCATAGAAGGGAGAAAAAGATGGAATCACAGGGTCAGAGCACGGCTTCTCTACCTACTCTACCAAACAGTACATTTTCACTTACCCTGCCAGGTTTTTCTCAACTCCAAATACTGCTTTAGGTTAAGTATATTCTGCTGCCAAGGGAAGTGTAGGTTTGAGTCTAAACAGGCTCTGAAACAGATTGTGCAAAAAAACCTCAGGCCTCCCTCCTTCCTCGGGAAGTTCCAACTGTGGCAGAAATGAAGATGGAACTTCTCAAGTATAAACAGTTTTGGCCGGGCGTGGTGGCTCACACCTGTAATCCCAGCACTTTGGGAGGTGGATCACGTGAGGCCAGGAGTTTGAGACCAGCCTGGCCAACATGGCGAAACCCCATCTCTACTAAAAATATAAAAATTAGATGGGCATGGTGGCACACACCTGTAATCCCAGCTACTCAGGAGGCTGAGGCACGAGAGTCGCTTGAACCCTGGAGGCAGAGGTTGCAGTGAGCCGAGATCATGCCACTGCACTCCAGTCTGTGTGACAGAGTGAGACTGTCTCAAAAAATAAATAAAAGAATCAACAGTTTCTAGCACTCATACCCTAGATATCCCCCAAGTACCTCTCTTCTCCTTTGGTCATGGTTATAACTGGGATAATGATTATGATAGACTGGCTGGGTGTCAGAGGTATAGATTAAGGTAGATGGACTCAGGGTAAGGATAGCTACAGCTGTCTAGGGCTGAAGGTCTGTGGCACTGAGCTACTGGGGAAGGAGGGCTCTGTTTTCATTTTGACACACTGAGTTAATAAAGCACTTACTGAGGGAGCCAGAGCCCAAACTCTGAATGTGCTGTAGAAAAAGGGCCAAGTCATTGACTGCACCACTCCTTCAGCCAGAGGTAGAAAGGATTTACTCTTCAGCGATCTGGTAGAGCCCCAAGAACAAACAAGTTACATGTGGACAAAGGGAGGGAGAAATATCACGGTGATTAATAAATGCAAACAAAGCTGAATGATAAGACCCCAGGATGGAATACAGTCTGAGAAAGGTCTGGGCAAAGGGAAGCAGAGGGACTGAAGGAAGCAGGTCAGGGAAGATACATCACCCATGGTAGCCTAGGAAATTGGCAGTAGTTGGTGGGTGGGAGAAGGAGGGTTTGGCTGTATGCCTAGCTTTCACAAGGTAGGGGATGAGGAAGATGATTATGATATTGCACAAAGGACCCAACATTGAATTGCGGGAGCTAGAGGTTGCTTGAGGCAAAGTAAAAAGGCTTCAGACATTTTCAAAAGGAGGCTGGCCAAGAGCGTGATTAGGGACTCCAGTAATGGAAATACTAGAGGCCCGGGGGCACCTCAAGCCCTGAATGGGTCAGCAGCTCTCCATCCCAGAGAGCAAAGGCAGGCACCACTGGACCCCGGAAATCTGTCTGTAGCGTGTGAACCACAGAGACCTGGCTCACATCCACCAGGCTCAGCTTCTGGGCCTCATACTCCAGCAGCAGCCCCACCTTCTCTGGCTGCCCAATACCCTCAATTGGGGCTTTCTCGTTGGCCAACATGGTGTACCACTTGCGCTGGGCATAGGTGAACACCCAGGAACGATCATCAATACCAATGCAGCTATCCCGGGACATGTCCACATCTGCCACTCCTATCCGGAACTGCTGGGAGCGCTTCACTGTCACTTCCCAGTAGTGTCTGCCACTGGTGACCGCTGTGTCTGCCAGCACCACTGCCCACTCCCGGAAGCGCTCCACATTCAAGGCCACCTTGGTGGGCTCCAATCCCACCAAGCCATATTTGACGCCCGTATCACCTCTGAAGAGTGCCAGGCTGCTGTGGGCGGTTTTTTCTTCCAATTTGAAACTGACGCCTGCGGGCAGAGCAAAAAGACGGGATAATAACAGGGGCTAGAACCCTAGGGCTGGTGATATATTCAGATCTAAGGCAGGCAGTCATGAGACACGAGCAACTAGGGAAGAGTCAGAATGCCAAGCGGGCAAGAGAGTCGGGGGGTCGCTTTAGTATGGATAGCTCATGGAGCTGAAAAACTCGGATTGAGGAAGTCCCGGAATTTAAAGAAACCAAATGGTGTCAAAGGTTTGGAATCTAGAGACCAAGGCAGGTGGGGGAAGGAAAAGACCCGAGAGGGTTGGAATTGCTTCTCGGAGTCGGGTCTGGGAATAAGAGACGGAAGCCATTCTGGAGGTAAAAGAGTAAAAAGAGATAATCCTACCTCTCTGGGCCTCTGTGGAGGCAACTCCCAATCGTTTGGCTCCCCAGCGGCACAAGCGCAAAGAACGTGCAAAAAGCAGCGCCATCTTGCGCCATGGATGAGCCGGACACGCCTCCCGCTTACAGACTCAGCCATCTGCCCGCCTGCTCCCCTAGCACGTGGTGCGCGAGGGACGGCCGCGCAGTGTTATGACGTAGGAGCGACGCCTTGCGGAAGGCGGCCGCGTTAGCGGTTTCTGTTCTGATTCTACCCGGTGGTTGATGCTGTTTATTCAGTTTTTCTGCGTAGATGGACGCTGCTCACATTTGAACTACATAAAACTTTTAGAGATGTAGTGTTGCCAGATGCTTAAAAGTATAGATTTAAAAATTAAACAGTACTGTAATTAGCTTTGATCCCGGCTTCACTGTGTGAGTTTGGGCAACTCATTCCACTTTTCTGAGCCTTAGTGTTCTCATTTTTAAAATAGAAATTATATACAGACCTTAGTAATAATTAAGTGAGGATAATCTAGGACGGGCGCGGTGGCTCACGCCTGTAATCCCAGCACTTTGGGAGGCCGAGGCAGGCGGATCACGAGGTCAGGAGATCAAGACCATCCTGGCTAACATGGTGAAACCCCGCCTCTACTAAAAGTACAAAAATTAGCCGGGCATGGTGGCGCGCGCCTGTAATCCCAGCTACCCGGGAGGCTGAGGCAGGAGAATCGCTTGAACCAGGAAGTCGGAGGTTGCAGTGAGCCGAGATCCTGCCACTGCACTCCAGCCTGGTGACAGAGCAAGACTCCATCTCAAAAAGAAAAAAATAAATAATAATAATAATCTAGATATATATTGGCAAATAGCAACCATTGGGTAATTCAGAGTTGTTTATAATTAATACTAAATGCATAAATACTGTTAATGTTGGTTTTATATGTTCAAGGCTAGGAACGGATGGTTTAACTCAGCATTCAGTTTTCTGAACTTAACCAAAAGTAGCAATATTTTGGTTTAGTGTATGAGGTAGGAGATTACGAACAGCCTATATTTAACATTTAGATCTGCATTCCATTTTATTTTGTTTTTTGAGACAGGGTCTCATTCTGTCACCCACGCTGCATACAGCACAGTAAGGCGAACACAGCTCACTGCAGCCTTCATCTCCCAGGCACAAGCGATATTCCTGCTATAGCCTCCCGTGTAGCTGGGACCACAAGTGCACGCACCATGCCCGGTTAACTTTTTTTGTAGAAACGAGGGTTTCACTTTGTTGCCCCGGCTGTTCTCGAATTCTTGGGCTCAAGCCATCCTCCCACCTTTGCCTCCCAAAGTGCTGTGATTACAGGTGTTAGCCACCATGCCAGGCCCACATTTTTTTAAATCAATCCACTTCTCAGGCCGGGCGCGGTGGCTCAAGCCTGTAATCCCAGCACTTTGGGAGGCCGAGACGGGCGGATCACGAGGTCAGGAGATCGAGACCATCCTGGTTAACACGGTGAAACCCCGTCTCTACTAAAAAATACAAAAAACTAGCCGGCCGAGGTGGCGGACGCCTGTAGTCCCAGCTACTCGGGAGGTGGAGGCAGGAGAATGGCGTGAACCCGGGAGGCGGAGCTTGCAGTGAGCTGAGATCCGGCCACTGCACTCCAGCCTGGGTGACAGCGCGAGACTCCGTCTCAAAAAAAAAAAAAAAAAAAATCAATCCACTTCTCAAGGTTCTGCTGGCCAGTGCAATATCAACATACATCCCACCTCCATCCTCCTACCCCTCAAAAAAAGGATTTTAGATATATGTTTTGTAAATTTATATTTTGAGACGTAGTGTCATTCTATCACCCAGGCTGGAGTACAGTGGTTTGATCTTGGCTAACTGCAACCTCCGCCTATGGGGTTCAAGCAATTCTCCTGTCTCAGCCTCCTGAGTAGCCGGAATTACAGGTGCCCGCCAACCACATCCGGGTAATTTGTTTTTTGTTTTTTGTTTTTTGTTTTTTTTTGAGACTGAGTCTCACTCTGTTGCCCAGGCTGGAGTGCAGTGGTACGACCTTGGCTCACTGTAACCTCTGCCTCCCAGGTACAAGGAATTCTCTTGTCTCAGCCTCCTGAGTACCTGGGACTGTAGGCACATGCCACTACATCTGGCTAATTTTTGTATTTTTAGTAGAGACAGGGTTTCACTATATTGGTCAGGCTGGTCTTGAACTCCTGACCTCAGGTGACCCACCCACCTCAGCCTCCGGAAGTGCTGGGATTACAGGTGTGAGCCACTACGCCTGGCCTAATTTTTGTATTTTTAATAGAGACAGAGTTTCACCATGTTGGCCAGTCTGGTCTCAGACTCCTGATCCGCCCACCTCAGCCTCCCAAAGTGCTGGGATTACAGATGTGAGCCACCATACCTGGCCTCTGGCCTAGATACTTAAAAGCCTAAATAATTAACCAAAAATTCTTCCTCCTCTCCCAGAGTTCTAACTGCCTCGAATCGTGGACATGGCCCTAGTTCAGGCCACTGTCATCCTTGACCTTAAGCCTTTCTTATTTCTTTTCTTTCTTTCTTTTCTTTTCTTTTCTTTTTTTTTTTTTTTTACTGAGACGGGGTCTCACTCTGTCACCCAGGCTGGAGTGCAGTGGCATAATCTCAGTGCACTGTAACCTCCACTGCCCAGGCTCAAGCGATTCTCCTACCTCAGCCTCCCAGGTAGTTGGGACTGCAGGCACCCACCACCATGCCCGGCTAATTTTTGTGTTTTTAGTAGAGACAGAGTTTTGCCATGTTGGCCAGGCTTTTCTCAAACTCCTGACCTCAGATAATCCGCCCGCCTCTGCCTCTCAAAGTTCTGGGATTACAGGCATGAGCTACCACACCCAGCCAAGGCTTTCTCATTTCAATGTAGAAATGTGAGTAGCTTCTAAGCTGATCTGCCAGCTTCTATTTATCTGCTTCTAATTCAATGTTGGCATTACAGTCAGACATGCCACCTCTCTGCTTAAATCCTTTAAGGTGCCTGCCTCAAATTCCCTTGCATGGTCACAAGGCTTTACGTGATATGACTGCTGCCTATCTTCTTTGTTCATTTTCACAAAACATGATTTTTTCAAGGGTTCACAGGGCCATTGCAGTATGATTCACTAGGTGCCATGATTGAAGTCATACAGGATGCAAAGGAAACAAAGGTGAAGCCTCTGATTTAGTATATGGAAAGGTGGGAAGAGACTTCCCAAAAGCCATAGCTATGGCTTGAAAAGCAGAAATGGTTAAGCAAGTGAGGGAATTAACCAACAAGCTGCCTTCAGGCACTTGTTTAACAAAGACACATCCTGCACAGCCCAAAATCCATTAAACCTTGAGTCACCACAGCACATGTCTCTTACAAAGACAAGGTTGGGGGTAGGGTCACAGATTAACAGTATCTCAAATACAGAACAAAGTGGAGTCTCTTATGTCTACTTCTTTCTATATAGACCCAGTAACAGGCTGATCTCTCTTTCTTTTCCCCACAGTCTGTCTCCTCTCACATAACTGATTCTCACTGAATTCCTATCACATTCCCCCTACTCCTACCCAGCCCCCACCATCAACTGCATCAGCCTTCTAACTGGTCTCCATTCTCCCCAGTGCTGCTGAGAGAAACTGTATCACCCATTAGACTGTGAATTCTTAAGAAAGGTGATTAAATACTGTGTTCTCTGTGCCCCAGGGCCTTAGTGTTCCCTTTAGCACAGAATATGTGCTCATTAAAACAAATGAGTATAAAAGTAGAGGGTGGTTGGGCACGGTAGCTTATGCCTGTAATCCCAGCACTTTGGGAGGCTGAGGTGAGAGGATCACTTGAGCCCAGGAGTTCGAGACCAGCCTGGGCAACATAGGGAGACCCTATCTCTACAAAATAAATTTTAGAATTAGCCAGGTGTGGTGGCACACACCTGTAGTCCCAGCTAATTGGGAAGCTGAGGCACGAGGATTGCTTGAGCCCAGGAGGTTGAGGCTACAGTGAACCTGGGCAACAAAGCAAGACCCTGTCTGAATAAAAAAAAAAAAAAAGTTTTGTTCCCACATTTTTTGGAGTGCAGTGGCTCATTCTCTCCACCATTTTTTTGTTTTTCTTTCTTTTGAGACAGGGTCTGGCTCTGTCGCCCAGGCTGGAGTGCAGTGGCGTGATCTCAACTCACTGCAACCTCCGCCTCCTAGGTTCAAGCGATTCTCCTGCCTCAGCCTCCCGAGTAGCTGGGACTACAGGCATGCACCATCACGCCTGGCTAATTTTTTGTATTTTTAATACAGACAGGGTTTCACCATTTTGGCCGGGCTGGTCTTAAACCCGTGTCCTCAAGCAATCTGCCCGTCTTGGCCTCCCAAAGTGCTGGGATTACAGAGGTGAACTGCCGTGCCCAGCCTCGCCACCAGTTTGGAGTGCAGTGGCCCATTGTCTCCACTAGGAGTCAGCATGGCCCAGACTTTTCAGTCAGCTAAATAACGTGAGAAGAGAGCCGGGATTCCTTTTAAGCCTAGGAACAAAAGTGGGAAGAGATTTCCTTCAGCAAAGTCCTGCTCTGTCAATACTTGGCATTTTGGTAGTAATGAGAAGGTTCCAGGATTGTGTTTCTGTAGGATTTCCCCTTTGGTTCCTGTGAGAGCTGAAGCAATCACTGCACATCCCTCACACTGTCACTTAAGACGCATGCATTACTTTATTCCTTATTCAGGGAATAGCCTTGCTTGTCATCTCTCATATTATTTCACTTTTACAGGCTGACCATTCATTTGATAAACTCACCTTTCTCATTCAGATGATTTACCTGCCTCGTTGCTCATTGTAATTATAAGTCTTTTTTTTTTTTTTTTTTTTTGAAACAGATTCTCACTCTGTCACCCAGACTGGAGTACAGTTCAGCTCACTGCAAACTCCTCCTCCTAGGTTCAAGCAGTTCTCCTGCCTCGGTCATCCAACTAGTTGGGATCACAGATGTGCACCACCACGCCTGGCTAATTTTTTGTATTTTTAGTAGAGACGGGGTTTTGCCATGTTGCCCAGGCTGGTCTCGAACTCCTGGCCTCCAGTGATCCGCCCACCTCAGCCTCCCAAAGTGCTGACCACACCCGGCCTGTAATTCTTAACTTTAATGCAAAATAATTAGAATATGATAGAATTTTACTTAACACAAAACGGGAAAGACATTGAGGCAACAGGAACAGCTTAGACTAACGCAC